TTTCTCAGTTTTATGCTCCTCTAATAATGCCTGTTCTTGTTTCAGTTTATCTTATAATCACTTCATTCCTTGCTAAAGAACTATACATGCGAATTTTTTGCAATTAATCTGTTTTAACATCATTGTAAAATGAAACAGAATTATAGGCACATCAGCGAATAAAGCAAACTTTCGAGTTTTGTTGTGACTTTTGAGCAATCATTCCTATCCTCACTATATCTTCAGATACTTTGAAAACATTTAATGCCATCAGAACAAGTTACATCAAAAATTGAAAATTTTCAGGGTAGATATTTTCCTAATCAACCTGTTCTGAGATGTTATGACATAACTCCGGAGCAGGTAAGACTTGAACCCAGATCTCAGACATAGGGAAAGCATCACTGTGCCACTACAGCCCTCTTTTTTGTTTGGTCTGTATCATTGACCTATGCTCAGCTAATTCTGGGATCCCTGGAGGATGTTTTCTTCTCAGCTGGAATTGATTTTCAGATGACATAGTTGTTGGAAATCCTGCAGAACACCCCTCTCTTGTCTGTAATTTGAGCTACTTTTATACAGGGCAGTGGTTTAGCCAACACAGAGTCCTGAGAATCTGCCCCTTCGGTATGCACATTCCAAATAGGGGAAAACATCTTCAAAATATAAATTCTATCAAGCCCTCCAAAAAAAATGCTATACTTTTCAGTAGGTTATCTCATTCATCTAAAGGTTCAGAGAATAAACACATTCCATTCAACATTTGTCCCCTATTGCAAATACATTCTGCTTCAGTAAAAGAGGCCAGAACTGTTCATAGTACTCCAGATATGGTCTCATCAAAACCCAGTTATAATTGCTGAAAAATTTCCTTACTATTATCCTGCATGCAGTTTGATTAACATATCATTTGCTTTCCCAACAGCTTGCTGTATCTGTGTTGACTGCTATTTGAATGCAGTAACATGCAAATCTTTTTGTGTACCAATATTTAACTAGAACCTCGCCTGTTTAAAATAGGTATCTAATTTCACATTTCCCCAAATTATACATCTTGCACAATCACAGAATCGTTACAGCACAGAAGGGGTCTATTCAGCCCATCACATCTGTACCAGTGCTATCACTGCCTTCCCCACCCCCCCACAAGCCCCAATATCCGTGCACACTATTTTTATCCAATTAATCATTCAATGCCATAATGAAAGCCTCAATTGAGCCCGCCTCCATATTTCCAGACCTTAATTACTCATTGTGTGGAGAAGAAATCTTCCCCCCACCCTCACATCACCGTCGCTTTCTTTATGCATCATTTTAAATCTATGCCGTCATTCTTTTGAGGGGAAACAGCTTTCCCTTCCCCCCATCTATTCCATTCAGCCCACTCATGATTTCAAAAATGTTTATCAAATCTCCTATCAGCCTTCTTTTGACAAGAAAAAAGCAGTCCAACTTCTTTGATCTATCCTCACCTGAAGTTGTTAATTCCTGCTGAGATCTAACAAGTGTCTTGTACAAGTTCTTCACCTCCCTGTTCTTATACTCCGTACCCCTATTAATCTTGCTCACTCAACATTTCCTAATTTCCTTTATCGCCTCCTTACAGCTACAAATCACTTTATTGTTTTTCAAACTTGGAGAGGAGTATTCTCATGTGAATTGATCCCTTAAGATTTTATATAATGAGGCCTGAACACATTTCCTTGCAAGATCTTGTTATATCCTGCCAAGATCTTGTTATATCCTGCCAACCTGAACTGCTACTGCATTTGTCATAGAGTTTTGCTTTACCTTGCTACTTACACCCTAAAGAACTAAATTTGTCAAATAGTTTATTTTATGAAAACATTTAGGGCTGTTTAAAAAGTGTCCTTTTATAAAATCTCTCTTAGACTACATACTTTACTTACTACTGTCAAGTTGTTCTGGTACAGCTATAATATTGACATGAGGATAGATAAATCCCCTGGGCCGGACGGGATATACCCAAGGTTGCTACAGGAAGCGAGGCAAGAGATTGCTGTGCCTTTGGTGATGATCTTTGCGTCCTCACTGTCCACTGCAGTAGTACCATGTGACTAGAGGATGACAAATGTTATTCCCTTGTTCACAAAAGGGAACAGGGATAATCCTGGGAATTACAGACCAGTCAGTCTTACTTTGGTGGTGCAAATTATCGGAGAGGATTCTGAGAGATAGTATTTATGATTATTTGGAAAAGCATAGATTGATTAGAAATAGTCAGCATGGCTTTGCGAGGGGCAGATCATGCCTCACAAGCCTTATTGAATTCTTTGAGGATGTGACAAAACACATTGAAGGTAGAACAGCAGATGTAGTGTATATGGATTTCAGCAAGGCATTTGTGAAGGTTCCCCATGGTAAGCTCATTCAGAAAGTAAGGAGGCATGGGATTCAGGGAAATTTGGTTGTTTGGATACAGAATTGGCTGCCTAATAGAAGACAGAGGGTGGTAGTAGATGGAAAGTATTCAGCCTGGAGTTCGGTGACTAGTGGTGTTCCGCAGGGATCTGTTCTGGGACCTCTGCTCTTTATAAATGACTTGGAGAAGGATTTGGAAGGGTGGGTTAGTAAGTTTGCCAATGACACGAAGGTTGTTGGAGTTGTGGATAGTGTGGAGGGCTGTTGCAAAATGCAGAGCTAGGCAAAGAAGTGGCAGATGGAATTCAACACGGAAAAGTGAGAAATGATTAATTTTGGAAGGTCGAATTTGAATGCAGAATACAGGGTTAATGGCAGGATTCTTGGCACTGTGGAGGAACAGAGAGATCTTGGGCTCCACATCCACAAATCCCTCAAAGTTGCCACCCAAGTCGATAGGGTTGTTAAGAAGGCGTATGGTGTGTTGGCTTTCATCAGCAGGGGGATTGAGTTTAAGAGCTGCAACTTTATAAAACCCTGGTTAGACCACACTTGGAATATTGTGTTCAGTTCTGGTCACGTCATTATAGGAAGGATGTGGAAGCTTTAGAGTGGGTGCAGAGGAGATTTACCAGGATGCTGTGTGGAATGGAGGGCAGGACTTGAAGGTGCATAGGGCTTTTCTCATTGGAGCAAAGAAGGATGAGAATTGACTTGATAGATGTGTACAAGATGATGAGAGGCATAGCTAGAGTGGATAGCCAGAGACTTTTTCCCCAGGGCAGAAATGGCTATGACAAGGGGGCATAATTTTAAGGTGATTGGAGGAAGGCATAGGGGAGATGTCAGAGGTAGGTTCTTTACACAAAGTGGTGGGTGCATGGAATGCACTGCCAGCAGTGGTAGTAGAGTCAGATACATTAAGGACATCTAAGCGACTCTTGGATAGGCACATTGATGACAGTAAAATGGAGGGTATGCAGGTTAGCTTTGATCTTAGTGTAGGATATTAGGTCAGCACAACATTGTAGGCCAAAGGGCCTGTACTGTGCTGTACTATTCTATGTAGCCATTAATGTAAAATTTCAAAATCCAGCCAATTACTGCCTCATTAGGAAACTGAATTATAAAGAAATCAGCAGTGTACGTAGTACTGACCTCCTCACCAATGAATTTTAGACTGAGCTCCACACTTCTACAGCTTGGTCCAGACAAAAATCAGCTGAATTCCCTGACAATGACTGCCCACTACATCAAGGACCCCTGGTAAAATGGAAGTCATTGGAAGGGTCTCCATTGTTTGGAATGAGTGATACCTTCTACAAAAGTTTTGCGCTTATTGTCGGAAACAAAATTAGCTTTCCATAATTAACTTAATACTGACACCCCAAAATCTAACCATCATCTACAAGGCATAAATCTGGAATGTGATGAAATACGTCATTGGCAGGTTCAAGAAAGTGGGCATATTCTGATCTTGCTCATCTCACATCTTAGGATGAATTTAAAAATCTAAACGAATATGGATGGAATTTGAAATGAACAAAAACAAAAACACTTTGTAAACTCAGTTGGTCTGGCAGCATCTGTAGAATGCAAGAAAGCACTAACAGAGTCCAGTATGTCTCTTCATGACAATACCAGACTCAAAATATTAACTTTCTCTCTCCGCACATCAGACCTGCTGAGTTTCTCCAGCATTGTTTCAGATTGTCAGCATCCACAATATTTTGTTTTCAGAATCATACAGTAAAGAGGCCCGATTCTAAATCTACACAGGTCCCACTTTCCAGTACTTGGCCCATAGCCTGACAATGAGATGACAGAGTGTTCATCCAAGTACATTTTATAAAAGCATTTTGGGGTTTCCCACCTCAATTACATTCCCAGGCATTTTCTCCTTCTCCATTTACATCAGTGTTACATTTACTACCCTCCAATCCACAAGAACCATTCTAGAATCTAATGAATCCTCAAAGAGCAAAGCCATGTAACTGTCATCTTAAATACCTCCCTCAAAATACCAAGATTTAGAGAATCTTGCCACTTATTCTTAGTGCTTGCAAGTTGCATGTTAGCAAACTCAACCCATTCTCACCCACTTGAAAGGAGAGCTACTGCTGTGTACTGGACAGTCATCAGGAACTCAATAATGGAGTCACTTAGAAAAGGATAATAATTAGAACAAGTGCTATATGGTTTTATGAAAGGATGCCCTATTTGACAAATTTAAGTTTAAGTACTCATTGGTAGTTAAAAGAGGAATGTGTAGGTGTAACAATATAATTAAATTTTCAAAAGGCATTCAAGATGGTGCCACACAAGCTTAATACAAGAGAAGGGCTCCTGACTGCAAACACATGTAGACATGTGAACAAGGGGCAGGTGGACTGTCATGTGGAATTGAGGCTATTCCCTCTGTTTATAATAGGAAATCTTAAATTGAATAGCAGAGCAGGCTCAATGGATTGTATGGTCTTCTCCCACACCTATTTCGAACAACAAATTCCAGAAATACTTTTAACTGAAGAGTTGGATTTTAGTAATAACTTTAAAAATAAAAAAAAGTTAGGCATGCACAACCGGTAACACCTTATGTTCCTTCTCCCAAATTTGAGATCATATTATAAAGACCAGAACCAGATTTATATTTTTATTTTTTATAAAACCAGAACAAAGTACAATAATGGAGATGAAGACAAATCCAATTCATTTGAATTTTATATTGAAAACAAAACGGATACATCAGAAAAGGCTCAACTTCAAGTTAATAAAAATCTATAATTCACATCTATTTACAGAATTACTCCTGTAAGAGTCTAACCTTGAAAAAGGGTGCTGTAAAATGCAATGGTTGGAAGCAGAAAAAAATTCCAAGCTGCAAAAAGGTGTAAAGAATTACAAGTGTAACTTCTAAAATACTTAATTTTATCTGGAGAGCATTTTTACAGAAGCAGAAATAGATAAAATAGTGGCAATACACTGCAGGGCACTGATAAGTTAACATTACAAACCTGCACCAGATCTGATGGAATAGGGGTTATCCTTCAGTGTAAGGAACTCAACCAGATTAGCACATTCTGTTCAGTTTACTGTTACTGTCATTTGTATTGACAATATTGTAACATTCATTTACTAACTGATTTATCAAGAACATCGTAGCACACTAGACTATGCTTTATGTAAGACCATCTTATTACATTCTTAACCAGGTTATTCCAGAAGTTGAGATTAGCAGCACGTTTAGACAAAGACTGACCATCACGACAGTTTGGATGCAGGAAAACAAAGTAGGCAGGAAGTACAATCGATGGGTCCATGCAAGATTACAGACCTGATTGCATAACTAGTAACTATTTAAGTTCTTCTTATATTATCCATCCAAGGGTTAAAACTTTTGATAAATATTTAAAAAGTCAGTGCAACACCTAGTTAAGGTTTGTAGTTTGTCATTGTGCTACAAAGTCTGCAGGAATGTCTTCACCTGTGAACAAGAAGTAATGTTATAAGTGATATTACCTGCTATAGATGTCCTATTTAATTGTTAAGTATCAGTTATCACTGGATTAACAAAATTAAGTTGCAGGATTTTTTAAAAGTTAATTTTTAAGATACTGAAGCAAATCAGTTTAGGAAGTAAACAAATAAAGTAAACAAACAAATAAAAATATTCAGAAAACCTGATTAAATTAAAAGCAACAGACAGTTAAAAGCAAAGTCAGGTGAAAAGAACTCAAACATTTGAAAATATTGGCAAGCCCCATCGCTTGAGTTTCAAACTAAACTTTTTGGACTATAATCTGGCATCGTATGATTTCTGATCTTGTCCACCCCAGTCCAACACCAGCACCTCCACATCATAACTCAAAAATCTCACATCTTAAAAGATATATTCTGACTAAATATCTATTAAAATACTTCAAATTTTCCTCAATTTGTTTGGTTAGGTAGCATTTTGCTGGGACAACTCCATAGATGAACTATTTTATCCAATTAGCCATGCTTCGGAAACAAAAACAGAAGTTGCTGGAAAAGCTCAGCATGTCTGGCAGCATCTGAAGAAAAGCCACGGTCAACATTTCAGGTCTGGTGACCCTTTCCTAGAGCTGATGGTAGCTAGGAAAATGTTGGTTTATATGCAGAAGATAAGGTGGGGGTAAAGGAGTAAATGATAGGTGGGGACAGAGCACAAAAAGAGTGATATCAGTTGAATAGACAAAGGAGTTGGAACGATCTGGCTGGAAGGATGAATAGCTGTTAATGATTACCAATAGATAGTGTGTAATGGCAGGCTATGTGATAAGGCCTGGTGTGTGGGGTTGGGGGCTACATCATGTGAGAGCTCAGGCCCTAAAATCACTGAACTCGATGGGAGTTTGGAGGGCTGCAGAGTCCAAGTGGAAAAAAAAAAAGAGGTGTTGTTCTTCCAGCTTGCGCTGAGCTTCACTGGAACACTGCACCAAGCCTGAGACAGATGTTGGCCAGGGAACAGGGTGGTGTGTTAAAGTGGCAGGCAACTGGAAGCTCGGGGTTTTTTTTGCTTCACAGAACATCTACGTTCTGCCTGCAGTCATCCAGTCTGCGCTTTGTTTCCTCAATGTAGGAAAGACAACATTGTGTAGAATAGATTCTGGGAAGTGCAGGTAAAGTGCACAAAGTATGTTTGAACCCTTGGGTACTGGGGAGGGAGGAGGTAAATTGACAGGTGCAGGGGCAGGTGCCATGGGGGTGAAGGAAGAGTGGACCACAGTATCCTGGAGGGAACAGTCCCTGTGGAAGGCGGACAAGGAAGGAGAATGTGTGTCTGGTGGTGGCATCTCACTGGAGGTGGCAGAAATGGCAGCTGTTGATCTTCCAGATGTGGATGCTGGTGGGATGGTAGTAGGGTCAAGGGGAACCCTATCGCTGATGCAGGAGGGAAGAGAAGGGATGAGGGCAGAAGTGCTGGAGATGGGTTGGGCTTGGTTTGAGGGCCTTGTCGACAATGGTGCTGGGGAATCCTTGGTGGAGGAAGACAGTGGACGTTTTGGAGGCTCCCTTAAATGAAGTTGGTCTGATCAGAACATATGCAGCGGAGATGGAGGAACTGAGAGAATAGAATGGAGTCTTTACAGGAAGCAGGGTGCGAGTATGTATCGTCCAGGTAGTCTGGGAGAAGGTGCGTTTATAGTGGATATTAGTGGCCAGCCTATCCCCAGAAATAGAAACAGATGTCGAGGAAGGGAAGGGAAGGGAGGAGTCAGAAATAGACCACATGAAAGTGAGGGCAGGGTGGAAATTGCAAGCGAAAAATCAATGAACTTTTCCAATTCCAGATGAGAGGGGAAAGCAGCACCGATGATATCATCGATATAACCAGAGAAAGTTGTGGTAGGGGCCCAGAATGGGACTGGAACAAGGAATGTTCCACATACCCCACCAAGAGACAAGCATAACTTGGTTACATGGGGGTACCCATGGCCATTCTTCATGGAGGTTCTGAAACAAGTTTAACAATAAATAAAATATACCTTGTCTAAAATGTCCTCTTGTTTGATTTTATCGTCTTTAAAATCTTCATTAACATCAAGCACTAAAATAGGAATGTCCTTCAAGTATTCAAAGTCAAGCCTGAAAGAGATTAAGAAATTATAGTAGTTTTACTTTTTGAAGTTGGGGTATGGAAAGAGAACAGTAAAGTTAAAGTAAGATACAATCTACATTCTACTAAGATTACGATATCACTTCCTACAAAAAGGACAAAAGTCTCAAGTTCAAATGGGTCCTACATACCTCATTGTTCGGTTATAAAGCCAACATTCATGTTTGTAATGCAGCTTTTCTAGATACTCCAACTCAATTCCTTGTTCCTCCTCCCTGCCTCTCAAATAAAGGCGCTCCATACATTTCTATCAGAGACAAAGGACAGATTTGTACCATGATTGGAATGTTGAAGTTGCTGTAGCCTTTCTTCAAACAGAAAAGCACCAAATCAAAGAAATCACCTATTTACTTACTTCAGGGGTTGCTCGAAGGTAGATCAGGGCATCCAACTCAATTTGAGCACCAAACTGGTTTAGTATCCAACCATGCCAATCTTGGTAAATCGCCCATTCCGTTTCATTCAGATTACCAGATTCAAACAAATTGGAGGCAAATATATACCTGTTTGGACAGAAAGAATGCTAAGAAATAATTCAGAATCAAAGCATTCCAAATAATTGTTAGATACCAAAAACAGAACCAATTTCTTAGTTCCTTGCTTCAGGCAGGTTTGACCCACAGCACCGTGACCTCTATTATACAGAGGCCAAGGAAGCAGATCCCACATGAAAAGGAGATTGGTGCCAGCACATGCAGTTCAATGTGATCCACAGCATTCCAGTCAATTAAACCAACTAGCCCACCCAAGAGGTCACAATTGCTTTAGCAAAATGCATTTTCTGTTCATATTGGGGTTTGGAGTGAAGGATAGTGATGTTGGGAACTCCCCTGCCACATGGCTGACCAGGAGTCTCACCTGCTCTTACAAAAGTTACAGCTTGATAACTAAGCTAGGCCATTAAAGGAATGCATTTTTCTGGTCCACCAAATTTTAGAGTGAAACTTGAATCTGGAGCTTATGGTTCAAAGGCAGTGATAACACAGTCAAGTCATCAGGAGACACCCAAGAATAAATCTATAAATGATAGCAAATTAAAAGAACCTATTCTTAAACAAAAAATCATTTGGGTCATTTTTATCTCATCTACCCAGAGATTAAAACTAGAAATCTGTGTCTCACCTGTCACTGTACACTGATCTTTCAAAGAACTGTACAGGATGTTCAGCCTCTTGAATTTTGGAGCACAATGGCGTAAGCTGTGCCCGAACCCTACTCAGGCAAGCGTAAGTTTGGAATGTGTACGCCCATCTACTTGGCTTGTCATAGAGCATCTGGAGGAGATTGCCGCCACTTTTCTGTGATGTTGTAAGTTCCTTTTAGGGAAATAAAAGTCAGAAACCAGAAAAATTTAGGAGAAATTTCACCAAAATCTATACAGCACAAGTTCCAAGTAAGCCTAACCCAATAGCTCTGATTGAACCACGATCTCTCAACCAGACACTTTCTTTTCAGTATTCAGGCAGACATTGAAATGACGAATGCAAGAGCTTGCAACCTAACCAATTAAACTAGCAGAGCTGAAAAATCAAAAGATTGCAATGAGACACTGAAAATACACTGGTTTTGTCCCTAACTGGAAAAGCAGAAATTATTTTACAAAAAAACTTTGAAAGCAGGGGTTGAAAACACCTGTGGCCATTTTGTGGGTTATTCATAGAATCTCTACAATGTGGAAGCAGGCCATTTGGCCATTGAGTCCACACCGACACCCTGAAGAGAATCCCACCCATACCCTACCCTATTCCTATAACCCAGCTTTTCCATTGGCTTATCCACATAGTATCCAGGGATATGCAGGCTATGAGCAATTTAGCATTGCCAATCCACCTAACCAACACATCTTTGAACTGTGGGAGAAAACCCATGCAGACACAGAACGTGCAAACTCCACATAGACAGTTGCCCAAGGCTGGAATTGAGCCCAGGATGTTGCCAAATTCCTCCATTTTGTTGCACAAAACTGCAACTTAGTTTCCTCAAATGATAGAGAACAATTCCTATAAAAGATACCAATTCACTATCTAATCAAAATTTGAAGGACAGCACTATATATTAGCATAAGTGAAATTCAATTACCTGGAATTCATCCATTGTTTGAACATTACACCATTTGCCAATAGGTTCAGGAACAACTTCCCATTCATCACTGGCTTTTGCCAACATGTGAACAAAAGTGGATTTCCCTGCAGCTGTTGAAAACAAGTAAAGTTAAAATGGATAACTTTTCACAAGAGTAGAACCTCATTGTCTCAAATATTTGTAAATGTTTATTTCTTCTCATCAACAGGTCATGAATCTTTTAATTGAAGTATATATTTATATAAAGACTTCATTCACATTAACTCCGAAAAGTTTTGCAGTCAAATCCATTTCTGGATCAGCACTAGATCCGTATTTTATAGGAGAATATCTATTTGTTAGGGAAAGATATTGGACCAACTGATTTAAACCGAAGTTACAATACATCTTCATGCCAAAATTCAAAGTTCAGCCATTTTTGTCGCTAAACAAATGGAGTCACAGAATGCAAATTTCAAGTCGACAAAAACTGTTTAAAATCTATTGAAAGAAAGAGTGAGTGTAGTTGTAATATTAATACCGAACAGCTTACAGGTAAGGTTTCAATATAATTAACTCAAGCAAGAAATTGGACAAAGAAGTTACAGAATACGAAATCTTAAAATGCATTTGTAACTCAAATTTAGTTACAGTAGTTCTTTATGTAAAAAGACCAAATAGCAAGGAGAACGGAGGATCGTTAGTTTTCTTTGTGCGACAATCATAAATGCCAGATGTTCTACAAAGTCATCGAGACTGCAAAATGTCAATTCGAAAGGTTAAAATGGGGTGAGGTATATTAAATCTGCCTAAGAGACAGGAAACAACGAAAAACCATTCTCTTAACTGACACGAGCTTTCCCGCGCAGCCGGTTACCAGGATACAAGTAACAAAAAAAAGTGTCACTAAATCCCACATTCTCAGCCCAGAACCAACTCACCTGGCCCTACTTTTAACACCACAGGACCGAGGAAACACATTATTTCAAAGACCATCTTCTTGACTGGCAAAGCCAAGCCCGCCAAGAGATATTGGCGCCAAATTCGCCCCCGAACCCTGTCCGACCAGCTTGCACAATTTTTAAAAAAAAGAAAAAAAAAAATCAGTATAAACTGCTTACATTACTTACCAATATTTCCTTCAATTGAAATTTTCTTCACTCTCTTTTCAAAGCTGTCGTCGAAATTGGGGCTGACACACATTCTTTTTGGCGGAGTAGCCATGGTCTGGTGTGAACAATTCCGTACCCTCTGGCAAGCAGCACTAGAAATATTTGAAAGTGGCGGGCTCGGCTCGTATTTGTAGTGTCGGGAAGTTGTGGCCGCGCCTCTCTGCTGGCGTAACTCTAGCAAACTGCAGAAGAGCAGCGTCGCTGTTCGTTCATTCATTCATTGCAGCCAATCCACTCCTTCCCTGTAACAATGGGCACCTCACTATTGTCGCAGTAACTTCGACCAGGACGACCGAACAAAAGCGTCCCTTTTTAAAGGAGCACAGATAATAGGAAGCTATATCACATCAAAGAAAAGTGAATATATACGATTAAAGATACTACTGCATCAGCTGCCACAACCGCGGGGTATTGTCACCACCTCCTGAGTGAAACCTTTTAATCTGTCTTGCCAGCATATTTTTTTTTCATTTCAGTTTCCGCAATATTTTCCGTCTCTGCCATACATTTCAGTTGCGGTCGATCGAAAGCTTTACGATCCAGTCGAAAAATGCCACGTAATTGCCGGTCAGGAGAATACTGATGTGAAATTCCTACTGTATATGAGTCACGTAGTCCGTGAGAAGTATTTCACGAAGTGTAGGAGGTTGAAAGCTGTGGAAGGAGGATCTACGAAGGTGAGGTTCGTGACAATCCCTGCAAACAATGGCTTGGTGCCCGGAGGTGGAATCTCGATCCAGGGGGAATCTAGAGGGAAGTAATCAGAGACAACACAGTGTAGAGCTGGAGGAACAAAGCAGGCCGGGCAGCATCAGAGGAGCAGGAAGGTGATGTTTCGGGTCGGGATCCTTCTTCAGAAATAGGGAGGGGAAAGGGAGCTCGGAAATAAATAGAGAGGAGGAGTGGGGCTGGGGAAGGTAGATGGGATGGTGACAGGTGAGTGCAGGTGGGGCGTGGTGGGGATTTGTCAGTGAGGTGGGTGGGGCGGATAGTTCGGAGAGATAGTAAGACCTGCCGATGGTGGAGTCTGAGATAACACAGTGTGGAGCTGGATGAACACAGCAGGCCAGGCAGCATCAGAGGAGCAGGAAAGCTGACGTTTCAGGTAGGAGATAGTAGGAACTGCAGATGCTGGAGAATCCGAGACAACAAGGTGCAGATGAAGGGTCTAGGCCCGAAACGTCAGCCTCTCTGCTCCTATGATGCTGCTTGGCCTGCTGTGTTCATCCAGCCCTGCACCTTGTTGTTTCAGGTAGGAACCTTTTTTGCAGAAAATGAGTGTAGATGGACAGGTTGGGTCAGGTCAAGGAAGCGGGAATGAGACGGAGGGTTGGTCATGGGGTGAGGCCTGGGGTGGGGAGATTTTGAAACTGGTGAAATCCACATTTAGGCCATTGGAAGGTGTGGCATTCAACCTCTGGCGAGGTAGAGATCAGTTCCCAGAAAACCACAGTACCACCCCTTTAATAGGTTTGGTAACAAAATTGAGGTTCAATCTGAGAGAACAGAATGCAGCAAGAGACAGGTTAGAGTGAGTGAGAGGAATGGGTAAATTGAAGTGGTTGAAGCTATGCAGGCACAATCAATAAAAAGATCCTGATGTTGAGGTGCTGGTGTTGGACTGGGATGGACAAAGTCAGAAGTCTCACAACACCAGGTTATAGTCCAACAGGTTTATTTGAAATCACAAGGTTTCGGAGTGCTGTTCCTTCGACAGGTGAAGTCTGATGAAAAGCTCAAGGGAGCCTAGAAGGCCAAAAGGAAGAATCTAGTTGGAAAGAATACTGGAGACAGATTAAAAGGTTTCACTCAGGACTTGGTGTGAGGGAGATGTTCTTGGCCACTGAAGTGGGCATGGAGCTGGAGATGATGGAAGAGCTCAGCATCATTCCAATTTTGAAATTCACTCAGGTACAGGGGAAGACCCTTGCTTAGAACAGATCATTCAAGGTACTGTGTATACAGGGCAAGCAGTAGGAATAGAAGCAGGGATGTGTCAGAGGTAAGTGAGGGAGATCTGGAGGTTGGTACCCACGATTTCTTGGAGTTTGCAATCCTTCATACCTGTGAGGAAAGGGGGATGAAATGAGCCATGAAATGAGACTGTGGACCAGGACAGCTTTAAAATAATGAGTGCTGCTGACAAGAAAGATCAGAAGTGTTCATCTGATGACACCTGATATTAGGCACAGATCTCAGGGTGCACTCTAAACAAAAGCTCAAGGAACATAAATAACTTGGAGATATCCGTAATTGTAGTGGACCCAAAAAAATGGTGGGAATTTTAGCTGGAAGTCACGCTGAGTATGTCAAAGGTGTACACAGTCGTAGAACTAGGTTACAGATCAGTCAGTATAATTTTGGTATTTGGGATGCTTCTACAAACAATTATTTGGGACAGAAGTAGTACTCATATGACAAAAGGTGAGTCAATTAGGAAAGTCAACATGGAAAACTGAAGCGGAAATCAAGTTCAACTAATTTGCTGGAATTTTTTAGAAGAGGTAACAGAAAGATTCAATGAGGTTAACATTGTTGATGTGGTATACTTGGATTTCCAGAAAGCATTTGATAAAATGCTATACAATAGACTTGTGAGGAAATTTATAGGTCATGGTATAAAGGGACAGTCACAACATGAATACAAACTGGCTGATCAATAGGTAACAGACAGTAATGGTCAATGGATATTTTTCAGGCTGAAGCAAGGTTTGCAATGGGGTTTCCCTGGGGTTGGTATTGGAACCTTTGCTTTTCCTGATGTATATTAATGATCTGGACCTTGATGTGTAGGGGACAATTTTGAAGTTTGCAGCGGACGAGAAACTTAGAGGAATTGACGAGGTTGTCAAGTTGGTAGAGTGGGCAGATAGGTAGCAAATGAGATTCTATGCAGAGAGGCGGAAGTGATACACTTTGGCTAGAAGGACATTGAAAGACAATATTAAACAGGGGGCACGATTCTAAATGGGATGCAGAGGTGGGTGTATATATGTATAGATTATTGAAGCTGGCTGGACAGGTAGAGAGCAGTTAATAAAACCTACATTGTCCTCAGCTTTATTAATATGTGTATAGAGTTCAAAAGCAAGGAGGTAACATTGCATTTGCGTAAGACTCTTGTTACCCCCCAGCTGGAGTATTGGGTATAGTTTCAGTTAAAAGGATAGATTGAAGAGGTCCTGCTTGGTGAAAAGAAGCTGAAAAGAGATTTGATAGAGGTTTTCAAAGTCATGAGCAGGTTGAATAGAGTACATTGGGAAAAACAGTTTCTACTTGTGAAAAGGCATAAATTTAAAGTGATGTACAAACAAGCCAGGGAGATGTGAGGAAAAAAAATTCATACAGCAAGTAGTTAGGATGCAGGCATGGTGGGCTGAATGGCCCTTTTCTGCACTGTAAACATTCTGTGATTTAGTGAGATGTAAAAGTAAGTATTGGGTAATACCTGATTGCTTTCTATTTCCCTTCTCAAATTCAATGAAGGTGAATCAGGGAGAAAAACAAATGGAAATCCCATTGGAGACAAGATCTTCAGGGTGAGCATTTCTGGATGAGAAGTGGTAGTCGATTAATCACCAATACCAAAGTAATATACCATGCCACTGGAAATCTGAAATAAAACCAGATAATGCTGGAAATGCTCAACAACAGCGTTAAAGTTTTAGTCAAAGTTTTTCACTCCCCAGACACTGCCTGAAATGCTGAGCAATTCCAATATTTTCTGTTTTCAAATTCTTTTAAACAGAACATTTTTTTCTTCTCTTGTCCTATTACCACTTCCTTTGGCCTTATCTCATCAATTCTTTTGTAATTTAATCTTTCATGTCTTCCACCCTCTCACATATTTCCCAATTTTTCTACTTACATGGCCTGTTTCTATGCCACATGACGATAAGACTATGACCCCTCCTCTCCTTTTCTTGCTAAACTTCTTACATTTCCTGGTTTCAATGAATGGCCACAAACCTGAAACCTTAACTCTGGTTCTTTCTTTACAGTTGCTTTTTGACCTGCTGAGTATTTCCAGTTTTGGGGGGGTGTTTCTCTTAAATCACTGCAAATGCTATTTTTGACCATTTCCTCACCTTATTAGCAATAAGAAGGAAACTTGCAACCTTACCACGACTTACAATGGAAAAAAATCATATTATCTTCCCTTTATGTTATTCATTTCCTTTCTTCTGCTTATTTGTCCATTATTACCGTCCTGCTGCTATTGGCCTAATGATCCATTTCAAAACTTTTAATGGCTTTCCTTCTAGCAAATATACCACAATTCTGTGCTATATTTCTGAGGAAGGATCACCAGACCCGAAACATTAACTCTGATTTTTTTCTTCACAGATGCTGCCAGACCTGCTGAGTTTTTCCAGCAACCTCTGTTTTTTGTTCCTGTCCTGTACTTAGTCATTTTGATCTTGAAGTGATTACAATGGGTACTTCATCATTACTTGCCATAGTGTCTTCAATTGTATCAAGCTTTGTTCTGCTGCCTTCTGCCAAAACAGCTGGCAGCAGAACTTTAAGCCCCCTCAATCCTTGTCTTTGGAGCTCATGGACCCAGTATGAACCCACCCTCCATTGATCTGCTTCTAGCTTTTTTGCCCAAATCACAATCATCCCTCTTATGCTCTGCAGACTTTGTGCACTGCTCCTTTTATTATTACTATTACTATGCATGTAAAAGCTTTTGTATACATGCATACTGATGTTGATCACTTCCATACCAGAGATAAATTAGGTCCCAAAAGGAACAATCCTCGTGTACATTTTCCTAATTTTCAAGGATTTTTTCCTCTCATTAGCTACTGGTTATCATCGCCTGAAACTATTTAATTTTAGAAGTCTCCAACTGGCTAACAAAGGCAAAGCAAGTGACACTTCAAAACAAATATATAAATTTAGATATAATCATAGATTTTATTCACCAGGCAAGCAAAGTTTGTGGCATTTTTTTTGTGGATGGGGCAGATTTTGGTATCAAGTTGAGGATTATCAAATCAGCCGTGATATCATTGAACGGCAGAGCAGACTCAATTGGCCAAATGGCCTACTTCAGCTCCAACATCTTATGATCTACCACAATGTTGTTAGATCACATTGCAGATCTCAACTGGTTCCAATATTGCTCCGTTATAGCTGATTTTACCTACCATGTTGTCATGGAAGGAAGAAATTACATTGAACAGCACTGGTGGGCACAAAAACAGAGGTTGCTGGAAAAGCTCAGCAGGTCTGGCAGCATCTGTGAAGAAAAAATCAGAGTTAATGTTTCGGGTCCGGTGACCCTTCCTCAGAACAGCTGGTGGCAGCTGATTTTCTCCAGTATAGGCTGTTATTATACTGTGTCTGCTCACGTGGTTGAATGCCATGGTGAAGTTGATGAAGACAATATATATAGAAAGCAGAGTTAACGTTTTGACTCTGGTAACTCTTCATCAAAACTCCGAGTCAGAGTCACCAAACTCAAAATGTTAACTCTGCTTTTTCCTCACTGATGCTGCCAGACCTGCTGAGTTTCGCCAGCAATTTCTGTTTCTGTTTCAGATCTCTAGCATCTGCAGTTATTTGTTTTATTTTAGTCCATTCCAGTCCTTAAACACATGCTGCATAAAAAAGATTTTCCTCATGTCACTCTTAGTTCTTTTATTATTTCACAATAAATCTGGTTCTCACTATCTCGCTAGATATTTTCTCACTATCTCCACTAATTTGAACAAAAGGAAACATAGAGAGTTGGAAAGGATTAGGGAAGAAATTCCAGATCTTAGGTCCTCAGCAGCTGAAGATCTTCTATATCTTCTATATTGAAATCAGTGATGCTAAAGAGGTAGGGTGGCTGTTCGGTTTTTAGCCTCCTGCCCCATTCCAATACGGGATGCCCTGAGGTTGAGTATTTTGAAGTTTGGAGTAACCCTGTGGCCTTGTGAGGGATAGGTCCTTCATTCAGTCAGTCACTGCCAATGGCCAGCCAAAAATGCTGATTTCAGATATTTGATCTCAAAATCAACAAATTACGCAAGAGTAGAGTCTTGGTGGTTCCAAAAGACAGCCTTATAGCTTTGACGGCTAATGTTGATGTCAGCGATATAAAATCACTTCCACATTGGCAAGCATCCTGAAAAAAAGACTTTTCAACCCCATTCTGTATCCTTATGACGCTGCTCTCAATGTTATGTGATGAGGTCTGTGATTGTCCTACCAGCTTCCTTGGCTAAGGTCAATATCAGACATTTGAAGTTATTTTCATGTCACACCATGTGCCATGAGGAAAGATACTATCTTATTGTCCTCTTCACCACCATTCATTAATTAGAAATGACAAAGGGAAAGATGTTCAATCCAGAATGGTCAAATGCAGTTTCATAGCATAGAGCAGAAAGAGCATCACACAATCTGCAATTTGTGCTGAAATGACATCAACGTCAGTCACTGCAGAAAGGGAAACATGAATCATCATGTTTTGTCAGAAAACACAATCTAACACCCAAAGTTCCTTCACTTAAATCACCTACGTTGACATAAAATAATAAAGTGACTGCTGTTGAACTATGTAAAGCCTAAATGATTTGGCACCACCAGTCTTACAGCGGTATTGTCTGCAATGTAGAAAATGATAAAGAAATATACATGACTCCTCCACAGCAAGCATGGGTAAACAAAGCCAAAAACATTGAAGTAAAATGGTCTAACACAACACTTCTGTCCAGAAGTTCTTCGATTCCATAAAGCAAAAGACATTTTTTACCCTTTGGCAACTAATGTCTGCAACAAGGGTACAGCAAAGTTTGGTTTTCAGATATCCTAGTTTCGATATGGAGGCTCAGTACTTAAATTTTTATAACGATAGACAGGGAACCACAGAAAGAAATCACAATCAAGCTATTATCCAAACCCACACTTCCGTTAATGTTTCATGTAATCACCTGTTCATGACAGAAAGCATAATAGTAGTTACCTAAAGTTGAAAAGTGCTCAAAAGGACATTGTTGTAACCAATTGTTTCACTCACGTTTTAAATAGGGCAACAAGGTATGCTGTAAGAAACTAAAGATCATTCTCACAATATTGTTTCTGCATGCAGAACACCATAGTAGAGAGATTTCTGTAACTTACTTGAAGTGGAAGGGTGCAATCTATTGAGGCATGTCATGTCCAGGTGGTTTCCTTTATTGCTGTGTTATTGACAGGTTACTGAAATGCTAGAAACTTATGACAAGCTACATTCAGTATTCGGTGAGGAAATATGCCCAAAATAGCATCAGGATACTTCAGGAACAAGGGGATGCCAAGGAAATGACTGAGGCTTACTTTCTCGGCAATGCACTGTAACTATTTAGGAACTGTACTGAAGCTTTAGAGGCTAATTTGATCAGTGTATGAGCTGACAAGCAATCTGAATAGGAACCCAGACAATAGGATTTGGTCTTTTTTTTTGCATTCACTGCTAATGACAGACTGAAATAATTAAAACAAGATTTGGTCTGAAAATGTGAGTAAGCCATTATTGGTTACAAAAAGTCAAAAGTATATTAGTAACAGAAATGAAAACCGATTTCACAGTTGATTGTCCAAATAAGTCAATGCAAATCCTTTGAACAATTTTGCAACAGTGTTCAAGTGTGCAGTTCTTGTGCTTTGAAATAGTTCAACATTGTGAGAAGTGTTACATCCTCACCGAAGAGGAAGCATTGCTAGATCAGTGAGGAGGCAAAACTGGAATTTTTCAACAAAGTGCAGGGAAAAAAATATCATGAGCATGTAAAATATATCTTTTATATATTCTGCATAGCACACCTCAAAAGGGCTTTTCTCCATGTGACCACTGCTTTGAGAAGTGAGAGCAACCAGCTGGAGGTGCATAGCATAAAAACAGACCTCTAGACTGCATCAATTTCTTAGAAGAATGCAAAGACATATGCCTTGAGTTCTGAGGGAGCAAAAAACTTCTGGATGTCAACATAAGTGGCCAAAGTATTAAAAAAAATTAGCACTAGTTCACATGGTGGGGAGATTGGCTTCAAATTTTATTATTGATTGTTATACTATACATGTAGTTCTACTGTACACAGTGTAGTTATTAGCACTCACTAGTTCAAATTTAATCAATAAAGTAATTCAGTGTAAATGCAATTTCAGTTCTAATTTTAATTATATTAGCAGGCCTTAAACTCCTGGCCATTTTGCCTGTGTGCATGGGTGAAAGTGGTGATCAGAGGCCCAGGGTATTCTATAGTATGCAGACATCTTGGACTTGTGACTGGAGAAGATTATAGATGCAGGGAAGGCAAGATCATCAAGGAATTTGAAAACAATTATGAGAATTTAAAAATCGAGGTGATGGGGATCCAGCAAAGATCACGAACTATGGATGAGAGGCAAATGAGGCCCAATGTGAAATTAGCATGTTTTAGTTTAGCAACTGAACTGATGTTTGTTCAAAATCATTAAATTTGTGAAAAAACCTTCACACAAAGACCTCAGCGTTATCCTTTCCATTAATCAAATGATTTCTACATGCATTCTGAATGTTGTTTCCTTATTTTGCTCCACTGCTAGGCAAGAAATAACAACGGTGAGAGCTGACGGGATGGATTTGCCAGATAGCCTCATTCATAACCTGCTAAATCATACATTTCCTTGAAATTAATTCCAAGTAGTCTGTATTTGAAAATTACAAAATCATCGTGTCCAGTGTTTGTAACCACATCCTGGTAATGAATAAAAGTCTCTGAAAGAAAACTATATAATTGACATTGGAATGGGGGAGGGGAGAGAGAAGGCCACGAGATCTGCGCACGCGCCGTTGGCCTGTTTTTCGGGGGTACCCAGCCCTGCGCAGGCTCAGTGGTGGCGCGTGACTTAGAACTTCCGGTCCGCTGAGGCGATCTCCACGCTTTGAAAAAGAAAAGAAGCGGAAGGAGACGCTGTGTTAACGGACGTCCTGTGGCCGTTAACGTTGACACATCAAAATTAGTGTTTAGTTGAGGTTTCTTGGAGTGGCTATTGTCTTGTCGCCGGTGAGTGGCCTTGCTTAGGGGTTAAGTTTTATTTTTAAACGGGTTCGCCTGGAGAAGGCGAATGCGCGGCTGATTGATGCGTGCGCGCGGCCTCCGCTCGGCGCCGAGGCCTCATTTTCCCGGCGGCGAGGCCTCATTTTCCCGGCGGCGCCTCGCTCGGCCTTTTGTTTCCCTTGTTTCTTTTAATCGACGGCTCGCACCGATCCAGGTCTGTTCGCGGCTCCGCAGCGCGAGGGGTTTGCCGGCGGTTGCCCTGGAGTGAATTTTTTTTGCTCAATTCTTTTAAACGTTGGGATGCCGCCCGGTGCCGATTTGAGGCCTAATGAGCCTCCCCTCCCCCACCACCTCCCGCCCACATCCTCCCGGGATTTCCACAAGGCTGGGACTTGTCCGATTTGTATGTTTATTACGCTAAAGAGAGTGAAAGGGCCAGAAAGAGAGAGCGTGCTTCCCGACGCCAGTGCGAGTTTTATATTCAGTAGCAATTGGCAATGGTTATGTCTGAGGTTCGTCTTGTTTTCGCATTACGAGAGTAGCTGGAAAATAATTGGTCCGCGTCTGAGCAGCACCTGAGGCACTAATATGGTAAATGTAATTCCGAAGAAGTAATCAGAAAATGGTGACTAAACAGAATGGACGCTGATGGCCTTTTAAAAGATCTATCCAATTTGAAGCCCTCTTCTTAGCTCTGTTTTTATATGTACTTAAAAATGCCATTCTGGTAATTGCAAGTAATGCTTTAAAATTGGCCAAAAGAACTGTTACAGTAAAATTTCTAATTGCTGTTTTTTTTTGGTTCTGTTAAAATTGTAGCTATTAGCTAGCTGTTTGGAGAAATAATTGTGAAAATGCTTTTTTTTAAAAAAGATCAGTGATAATATTTTTAGATGAGGTTCTTTTAAAAGTACATGTTTATCTGCACCTGCTGCACCTTGTACTCAATTGTGGCTGAATGCATGATGGTTTCAAATATGCTTGTTAGAGTAATAGTTTCTCGTTTTGGTTGGAAATATGATCTAACTTCGTTTGGATCCATCTGACTGAGGCTACTGTTAAGACCACAGTCTGTCTGTCACAGGTTTAGTACACTTCTTCCTCGGTAATTAGTCATATATCTCCACTTTCCCAGAAAATGCTTGTTTGTTATATAATTATATTGTTTTCCTTTTTTTACTTAAGTGTATTAAAGTTCAGACCACTTTTTTTGTAATTTTACTGAGATCATTTTGTTTCTCAAACCCCAGCAATGTGGGTTAATGCAGAATTGTTGGTGCAAATTTATTTTTTCTAATTGTGTCTGAAAGAGGGTTTTCAACTGTCAAATTATTGTGATGCGCATTTCAATGTGTCACAGCAGTTATGGGTATTTTTGGAAGCAGAAAATGTTGGATTTGTTTGATTATCGCACAAATTCAACTTCGGGTCTTGAGTCCAAATTACAACGTACTGGTCCATCCCCCAAAGTGTCTGTTAGTCAATAGCAATGCTAACCTGGGCTAGTTCTGTCAACTCGGAGGTACACGCTTTGAACTACTGTGGATTTGTTTATTGGTAAGTCTACATGATGTACCAACAAAGTTAAAGGCAATTCAATTTTCAGATGTTGGTCAGACTTTACTTTATTAATAGCTAGCCTACCTTTCTCTAGTTCATTTGACAACGTCAGCGCAACAATACCTGTTTGCACTGGCAGAGGTAGAAAGGTTAAGACCTATGGTTCAGTGGGTAACACTCTTGGACTGTTGCAAGATAGATTCCAGTCCCACAGCCTAGAATTTGTAATTTGATTAACAAAATCTAACTAATTATTATTATTTATCAATCAACTAGCAATGCTTTGTTTAAAAAGCAGATTGTTATCAGTAGGCGAACTTGGCATGCAGCTGGCAATATTTCCTGCATTGCAAAATAATGACTTTGAAACTTGTTCATTGGTTGGGTAGTGTTTTGGGGACATTGAGATTGTGAAAGGATCTATATGAATGAGTGTTTGTCATGCCAAACACCTCCAGGATACCTTCTCAATGAGTGGTTCAGTGCAAATAAGCTAATCTTTAAGTTTGTTCTATGTCTAATATATTGATCACTTAAATGTAAAAATATGTTGAAATTGTCTGATTCAGGATTTTTAAAAGGAAAACTTATTGCATCGAAAAGAAGTCATGTCTAGTTCAGAAACTGATGGATTTGTTGTCCGGGTCCGTGGATTACCCTGGTCATCTGCTGCTGAGGAAGTGTTGCGCTTTTTTTCTGGTATGTAAGATGAAAAAGTGATCCAAGTGGACCATATTTTAGTAAGTCTGAAAATGTTATTTCTATATAAGCATATCAAGAATGTTTACCATACATATTCCACAAGAATAATGTTGTGAAGTGAGTGTTGCTATTTATATTTTTTAATATTAACTACATCTTTAAAAATGTCTTGAAGCAGAAATTTTGTATGAATTAATGTAACTTTGTCCTTCATTAATAGCGCACTAAATGTGGAATAAGTTTGCGTTCCTCACAATTAAATTTTAAAGTTCACTGAATTTGAAATAAGTTTTAAAATTGGTTTTCAAAAGCAATCGAGTTCTGGCATGCTCCTGCCTTTTTAATAATGAAGAATCTGACAGGTATAGATTTTCTAAAAAGTGAAGCGTCCTTAAAATGAATTCACTATTGAGTTTAGGTGGCAGTCACATTCACTTTGAGATCATTTAACCAGACTGGGTTAATTTTCAATATTGCTGTAGTTGCATTGTCAGAGTTTTAAAAAACCTTGACATTCCATTCTTTTTCTCCCAAGAAATATTACTAATAGCATTGCTTTCCCCAACACTTGTAATCAATTCTCATATTTTAAAAATGCAAAATGATACCACCCTGCCCAAAAATGCAGCTAATTATGTTGAAGCTGACATAACAAAACTCTCTTCCTGTTTCTCTCATTTATTTTCTGAAGGCTTATTTTCTTAGTTATTGCATAGGTGACATAGCAGCTACAATGCATCTTGAGTAGTTCATTTTCAAGTCTTCACTGAATGTTTGCAGTGCTACAGTCCTTTGTTCTGTCCTTGGTGTAATTTTCCCTGATCTTGTCCAACTGAATGCTGATGTTAAAATGGGACATCTAAGTGTAGATTGGCAGAGTGAACGCACACAAATGAAAGGACCAGTGTTTGGCTAATCTCCTAACTCTTTTTGAAGTAAAAACTATGTTGGGTAAAGTAGAAACTTCAATACAGTGGCACATGAGGTTGCACTAAATTTGAACCCGTGGAATAGATGTAATGGCGTGGGTTCAGGATTGGTTAATGAGCAGCAACAAAAGCATGAATAATTAAAATATATTGGCAGTTTGTAACTTTAAGTTGAGGTAGAATACGATCGATGCTTGTTCGGTTATTTTATGTCAGTGACTTTCATGTAACCAAGCTTCTTTATATTAGTACCGTTCACTGACAAAGTAAAGTTAAGTGGAAAGGTGGAGTGGGCAGAAATGACTGAAATTTAAGATTAGCCAAATATCCACTTTAGCAGGAATGGGAGCTTGGGGGTGGGTGAAGAATATTTTTAAATGGTAACTTTCATATAGAGGGGTTTGTTATTGAAAATAAATTGTTAAATGAAAATGAATACTGTGCATAATTCTGCTCTTCACACTATAGTAAAAGGTGACTATTGGAGAGGTTACAGAGCGGATTCCCCAATGTTCCTCATGGTAGACTGCTTAGCAAGGTTAGATCCTATGGAATACAGGGAGAACTAGCCATTTGGATACAAAACTGGCTCAGAGGTAGAAGACAGAGGGCGATGGTGGTTGATGGTTGCTTTTCAGACTGGAGGCCTGTGACCAGTGGTATGCCAGAAGGATCGATGCTGTGTCCCCTGCTTTTAGTCATTTATATAAATGACTTGGATGTGAATGTGGGAGGTTTAGTTAGTAAATCTGCAGATGCCACCAAAATTAGTGGTGTAGTGAACAATGAAGAAGGTTACCACAGTACGATAGAATCATGATCAGGTGAGCCATTGGCCTGAGGAGTGGCAGATGCAGTCTAATTTACATAAATGAGAGGTGCTGCATTTTGCAATGGCAAATCAGGGCAGGACTTCTACACTTAATAGCAAAGTCCTGGAGAGTGTTGCTAAACAAAGACCTTGGAGTGCAGGTACAAAGTTCCGTGAAAGTGGAGTTGTAGGTAGATAGGATAGTGAAAAAGGCATTTGGTACGCTTTTTTATTGGTCAGTCCATTGAGTATAGAAGTTGGGAGGTCATGTTACAGCTGGTTAGGCTGCTTTCGGAATAGCGTGTGCAGTTCGGGTCTCCCTGCTATAGGAAGGATGTTGTGAAACTTAAAAGGGTTCAGAAAAGATTTACAAGAATGTTGCCACTGGTGGAGGATTTGAGCTGTAGGGAGAGGCTGAATAGGCTGGGGCTATTTTCCCTGCAGTGTCTGAGGCTGAGGGGTGACCTTAGAGGTTTATAACATCATGAGGGGCATGGTGAATAGACAAGGTTCCACCCCCGGTCGGTGGAGTCTAAAACTGGAAGGCCGAGCTTTAATTGCTGAGATAGCCAAGCTCTGAAAACTTATGATTTCTGGTATCTTTGGGGTCCTTGTCTCTATTAAATGAAGTGAGTGCCAAAATAAATAGGGTTTTAAGGAAGGCTCTGTTTTGTGTAATGTCAGAAATTGAATGAACCCAGTATTTCAGAAAGTATGAGGAGAGCAGATTCCAAAAGATGAAAATCAAGGTTACTAACAAGTCACATTTGTAATGATTCGAAATTAACTTTACAAGTTGAGGTAACTTTTATTTTTTGGCAAAATGTCTATCGTTGGACAATTTACACTGGCTCTTTGGTTACCTTGATGTCTAACTATATATCTGTACCAGAAGGCCTAGGTTCAAGTTCCACTTACTCCATAGGTGTATCATGATGTGACTGATTTTAAAACGAATGATTTGACTTGATCTTTGTATCCTTATGAGGCAACTTGTTGATTTTACTTTTGGATGTATTGCTGGAACTCCTGGATTAAGTTATAGATCTGTTATAAAATCTTGAATGGGAATTCAGTACTTTTGTGTGATTATATCTATAATATTTAACTTGACTTTTACATTTCAGATTGCAAAATCTTAAATGGGATTTCTGGAATTCATTTTACGTATACCAGGGAAGGTCGGCCAAGTGGGGAAGCATTCATACAACTGGAAACTGAAGATGATGTCAAAATTGCAATGAAAAAAGACAAAGAAAGTATGGGGCATAGATATGTAGAAGGTAAGTTCATAAGTAAGCATCACTAAAAGGAGATAAGAAGTTTAAACCATTTCGTTTTGCACTCATCAGAACCAGAAAAAAAAGCTTAAGACTTGGGGTGGTGGGCGGTGAAGAGAGACTGTTTTATACAGAATTTTAAAAAAAAAGTGTTGATTGGACCATAATTGCTAGCCAGGCTGACATTCTGCAGTCACAAACCAAAATCCCTAGAAGAACTCAGCAGGTCTGGCAGCATCTGTGGAGGGAAAACAAGTTAATGTTTTGGGTCAAGTGACACTTGCATAGATCGTAGACTGGGAGACTGCTTTGCCTAACACCTACATCGTATTTGCAAAAATCATCCTGAGTTTCTGGTTGCCTCCCACCTCAACACTGTACCGTGTTCCCCGGCCAGCGTGTGTCTCAGGCTTGCTGCGGTTCTCCAGTGGAGGTCAGCATAAGCTGGAAGAACAGTTACTTGTTTCTGCTTGGGGACCCTACAGCCTTCAGGACTCTATCAACTTCAATAATTTTAGGGCCCAAGCACCTTCTGCGTCTTACCCCACACACCAGGCCACGTCATTTCAAGGGCTGCTTTCATCACACCCGTTTTCACCCACTAATGATCCCCACTGGCAGCTGAAGTCTGACTACGTAACTGTTGTTTGCCATAAGATCTTAGCTGATTCACTAATGTTCTTTAGGGGAGGAAATCTGCCATCCTTATATAATCTAGGCTATATGTCACTCCCAGATTTATAGAAATGTAGTTGATTCTTCAGTGCCTAGCTTCCATTCTGAAATGGTCTAGCGATCTGATTAGATGTATCAAACCGCAGTGACATTCCAAGAAATTTGACCTAGGCATTAGAAGCAATGAGGCCAAACCTGTCCACCCTGCAAAGTCACCCTTGCCATATTTGGGGTGTTGTGCAAATTTGGGAGTGCCGTCCCACAGTCTAATTAAGCAGTAGCCTAACGTAGCCATATTCTCAATCATATCTTACACTCAGCTAGACACCTTCATCTTGAGTATGTTCTGTTCCACCAATGATAACTGCATAATGGTATGGACAGGAAAGAGTTGCCTTGGAAATCTTCAATATTGATTCAAACCCAGTGTAATGGCATCAAGGAAACCTCTTGATTACCACCACCTACCTCCTTGGCTGATGAATGAGTGCTGAGGGTGCCAAGGGCACAGACTGTCCTCAGGAGTACCTCATGAGCACTGTATTTGACCAAGCTGCTGAATCCTAAAGTCCTAGAATCTGTGTAGCAGATGAAAGGAGACTGACAAGTGGAAAAACTACTCCATCTTCTCACCAATGTATCTTTTGCAAATACATCGGTTTATGAGATTTTTGGTTGAAGACACTGGATGCTGCAAAGGCAATTGGCACTGACGGCATTTGGCAGTTGTACTCAAACCTCTACTCCAGAACTGGACACTCTTGTTCCAGTACAGTTACAACACTGGCACATACCTGGGCAATTTTCCACAGTATCAGGTATGCACTGTGCTTGGAAAAAGGAAGACTAATCCAATCTGACAATTACTGCCCTATCAGTCTACTCCTGACCATCAAAAATGTAATGGAAGGGATTGTTAACAGCCCTATAAGGCCATTTTTAACAATTAACCAGCTTGCTGATGCATGGTTTGTGTTCTTCCAAGGTCACCTGGCTCCTGACCTCATTCCAGCCTTGATCCATACGTGGACCAAAGAGCTGAACGTGGGGTGAGGTGAGAGTCAAGGCAGCGTTTGTTCTGCCCGGTTTCTGTTGACAAGAGGTGTTGTAAATCTGCTAAGTGTTTGCAGAATAAATAGCTTTGGATTTTTTGAAAAGTAGACAAAAGCATGAGTGGGTAGGGTCAGACCCACACAGACCCAGGGGCTTAGTTTTGCTTTCGGTTGTTAAATCTGGGGTTTTGGGGTGAACCTGCTGTACAGCTCTGTTTGTTGCTGCAAAAACTTGATTCTCTTTCTGCTGCTAAATTCATTCTTTGTGTTTCTTCTGGACTGAAGAAGATTGCCAGTGAAGGAAATTAGTTTTGCTGAATTTGCCTTTACATGTGTGTGTTTTAAGGGTCGCTGCTACATTGGAACAATTGATGAGTAGTAGTTAACTTATCAAAATACTTAAAACATATTTTATGCCAATTCTCCTTTTTTGTTTACATTTTGAATTTGATATAAAAATGAAGTGTTTTGCTTAAAGCCTATTAATTTGGCGAGTTGAATCACATCTCGGACACAATGTCTAACACTTCCTTTTAAGATAAAATTAGTGTCTAGATGATCTCCTTGGTATGTTTTGAGGGCTGTAGTCCATAACATAATAAACAATGCTGAATTTGCGGTGATTTGATCACTTGATTTTTGGGATTGCTATTTCTGAAACACTTCAGATTTAACTGCTTGCTTTTCTAAAATTATTTCTTGAACTTTTTTAAACCTAGTATTTAAATCTAACAACATTGAAATGGACTGGGTTTTGAAGCACACTGGCCCCAATAGCCCTGATTCTTCAAATGATGGCTGTGTTCGTCTTAGGGGACTGCCATTTGGCTGTAGCAAGGAGGAAATAGTACAGTTTTTTACAGGTACAAAAAGCAGATATTTTTATGAATACAATTTAGTAAAATGGTTGTTTTAAGTGGTTTTATTTAATTACTTGCTATGTCTAATCTACAAATTTAGTTTTAAGATTAAATAAGTTAATGGTATTCATTTCCAGTTGATAAGGTAATATTTGCTATATTTTATTCAGATTTGAATTAAATAACTATTATTTAAATGGGATGTAGCATATTAACTATGCAGTCAAGTAATTAATACTTGATGACTCAATCAAAAATTCCTGCCCTGGTGCAACTTTTCTGTTGCTTTTGTTTTGCATTTTTAGAAAATGTAGTAATTTATTCTGCCGATGTGTTGCACACTGGTTCAGATCAAGATTAGAGTTATTGTTAAAATTCTGTTTCCAAAAACTTACAATCACAGCATTATCCAGGAGAATTCACACTCTTAGCTATAGCTATGGTCAAAATCTGACTTGTCACTTGCCATCCATTTTGTCACAAAAGGCCTGATTTCTGAAATCTATTCAGAGAAGTTGAGAATTAATCTTGTGTAAGCCTTGGTGCTTAATATTGCCTTTTAGCCCAGTCTAAATCCCACCAATTCTCCCTTATTTTAATAAATTTATTAAAATAAGATGGTAATTCATGGATATTTGTTGAAATGCTAAGCTATACTTGTCTGGATTTTAACTTGGTTTTGTTTTCCCAAGGTGGCAACGATCAAATTTGCATCAAGATATGTTAAAAATGACCTCCAAATGTACTTTTAAAGTAGCTTCCACACAGTTCATTCTTTTTCTTTCCAATCAATTCCTTTGCCCATCTTAATGAAATTTGTCCAATCATTCGCTTTGGTTCCCTCGCTCTCCATTTGTACCCAAGGGAAATCTCCAATATACCAGCCAAATGTAAAGTTTCAGAAGGTTTTGATATATCCGTTTGAGGAAAGATGTGAGTTTACAGCTGGATTGATAGTCTGTGCACTGGTCTGATTTTGCTATTTCTTTCTTTGCCCTACCACTATTCCCTCTTCCTCCCACCACCCCCACCGCGTGCACGTGCGTACACCCAGTCACTCTATTTCACTTCATGTCAAGCATCCTTTTCTTAAAAAAAAGCCTACAGTTGGTTCCATCATCCTGTTTATTCTTGGTCTGATCTAGTGTTTGTAGATGGATTTTTGGATTTATATAGTATATTTAAATCTATGAAGGTATCAGTTTGTTACATTTGGTTGCTAAACCTTCAAACATGGGTAACAAAAGACATGCTGTTAATGTGCCAGAGTGGTACAACAGGCAAGTTAAAATACCAAATACTGATCTAAGCTGCTGGAGGCAACAAGTGAAGGCTGATTGCTTACCAGTAAGTGGGCGAAGAAATTATAGGGGGAGCACTGACTCAGCTTCTGAAGGCTGTAAACAGTAGCTTCGTTGACCATCTCACTAGGAGCAGATGGTGTGCTTGGCTGCTATATATTAGGCTGGTGAGAAGCTTGCCTAGCCTTTTTTTTAAGGAAACTAAATGGTTTATTTCTGGGCTAGGTGAAGAGTAGGAATTCAATGTTGACAGGTCATTGAGACATTCCTGCATATGCAAGGCAAAATATGGCCTGATCATGTTCCCTGCTGGTTGCTTGGGTAACTGTCATATCATGCAACTTGGAACAGTGCAGCCAGAAAAGCTGTATGTTCAAAGCATGGTTTCATAAGCCAAAAGCTGCTGAGCCAACTGAATATGGTCTCAGTACCTGTAGAGTGGATGTATTTAAAGTTGAGGATTTTCACTCTTGGCATTACATGTGTGAGCATCAGGTGAGAACAGGTTTGTGCTTGGCTGTGATGGCCCCACAGCCCAAAAGTGCACACCGATTCACACATGGCAAAATGACCACCCAGGCAAAGCACTAGAATACACCTAATACTGGAACTAATGAGTTCCTGAAATTGATGGTGGGGAGCTGGGCTTTGGTTTTAGTTGCTATATTTTGGTCTCTTGAGTCAATCTAATTAATGCAGCTGCTTTCAATTTACTAGGGACTTGACTGTTTAGTTGTATTGTGTTACTGTGAATTCCTATTTATCCTGACACTAAAATTTGGGAAGCTATTTTAATTGTTTTTTTAAATAATGATTATTGCTTTGTTCTAAGATGTTATGTGACACATGTGGCTGTGCTTCAACCCAGGGAGTCCCCTGTGGTTGGTTAGGTTCTGGCATATATGTACACAGCATGATTGTCACACAACACTTTAGTGCATTTTAATTTTGAGCTGTAACTTAACAGTAGTTTACATTTTTATAAATGCAACGTCATAAGTAATAATTAGGCATGTGCACCCTTTAATGCTATCCCCTACTGGGGTTATTTGTCCTTGGGTTGAAGGGTTGGAAATCGTGCCAAATGGGATAACATTGCCGATGGACTACCAGGGGAGGAGCACGGGGGAGGCCTTCGTGCAGTTTGCCACACAGGAAATAGCTGAAAAGGCTCTAAAGAAACACAAGGAAAGAATAGGGCACAGGTGGGGATGGATGGATGAGTCACTTTTCTTATGGTATATGATTTGATTTGTTATCTAGTACAGTGCTTTGGTATGGCGAATGTTTCACCTGGATGCATTGTTGTTTAGGTTTTAAGTAATGTTACCACATTTCACAGATTTTGATACCATAAGAAATGTGATTAAGCACAATTTAAAAGCTCTTTAAAGACATTGTAACACTAATTTTTGTCGTAATTGTCACATGTTGACTATTTGTAAAATGAAATTGAAATAGAAATACTGGTAACCTGAGCCTGAAAAGCTACTTGCCGTCTTGGCTGATGCTTTTGCTGTTTTTATCCAATTAATGTACAACCTATTGGATGTCTTGGATGTCAAGATAATTACCTTTTTAACATTTGAAATTAATTACTTGTGGTTTAATATGTAATAAAGTTAAATGACAATTGTTGGCAAGAAACTTAAGGCAAATAGCTTTTCAACATAGTTGTTATTTAAGTTTACTGTTCAAAGAAGCATGTGCAACTTGCTTCTGTCATAGGACAGTCGAGTACACAAGTATTCTTCGCACAGTGTTTTGCAGCAATTACCTTTCATGCCTGAGACCTTTTTATAATTAATTATATCTTTGATAGTTGGGATGAAGGTCTTGCTTTCTGGCTATGAAAGGAGTTATTTTTCTGGTCGCATTAAATTTCCTAAAATTAACCACTGCTTTGAGGATATTACACTAGCTGTTTGCTTACCTGAATATTAACTAAGAATTATCGATAATGATAGTGGAAAAGATTTGTCAAAATGTCTGCTATGGTTGGAAGTGTTGTGGTTGAGTTTCAGGCAGATTGCCAAAGTAATGTGTGACGTTAGCATTACGTTGCTCCTGCCCTGTAACAGACCAAACACAAAAAGTGAATCTGAGGTGGAAATTATTTAATCATCAAAAGATTCTGGTGTGAATAGAAACTTAATGTCCCCAAATTGACCTTAGTCTGTTTAGCCTCCAGAATACAAATAGGATCATGGTAGGGCAGTTGGTTGTACTGGTGCAGATATTTTCTATTTAGCAGAGGACTTCATTCTGTATTGCAGTCTTCGATTGTCTGCAGGAATCTTGATTGTAGAAGTCCTGGGGAAAGCTATTGATTTGAAATTGTGCAAATTTTCATTTTTCAAAATGTCCATTGTGTATTCTTCAGTTTCAAATGATGGGTCCTGTTTTGATGGCAATATTGTAGACTTTCGCTGTTACCCAAGAGGGGAAAGGAGTTGAACCTAAGGATATAGTGTCTTGAGTCTATTAGGGTCTTTTAGCAATTATAATGCACCAAAAAGTTGACTTCTAATAGTCAGATGTGCTGGAAATAGATTTCGTATTTCTTGTATCTGCTATACTTTCTTTTCGTTAAGAAGCTGCTGATTGTTTGTTTGTTTGTTTGTTTGTTTGTTTTTGTTAAAATTTCAACTTGAATTCAAGCGTATCATTGCTAGGCTTAGTTGATCCTTTTTTATTTTTGTTGCTTAACCCACTATTTGGAGGACGGGGGAGATGATGGCCTATTGGTGTTATTGCTGGACTGTTAATCCAGAGACCCAGATAACGTTCTGGGGATCTGAGTTTGAATCCTGCCATGGTATATGGTGGAATTTGAATTCGGTAAATATCCTGGAGTTAATAGTCTAATGATGACTGTGAATCCATTTTTCCTTATTGGAAAAATCCATCTGGTTCACCAATGTCCTTTCGGGAAAGAAACCACCATCCTTACCTGGTCTGGCTTACATGTGACTCCAGACCCTCGGCAATGTGGTTGACTCCTAACTGCCCTCTGGGCAATTGGGTTAGGCAATAAATGCTGCCTACCTAGTGACACACTCTTCCTGTGAATGAATAAAGAAAAAAAAGTGATTGGGAAGAAAAATCACTTTGCCCAGCATAGTTAATATTGCTGTTGCGCCATTAGTAATATGCTTTATGTTGCCTGTGCAAGTGTAATGAATATCGCACTTCGGAGCGATTTTGAAGGCTTTCAGAATTTGAGAAATCAATTGTGCAGCAAGTCCTTCTAGGATGCAGCGGATCTTAAGTCTCAGCACTTAGTTCTTTAGCAATGTAAAGCTGTGCTGTTTAGAGGCTAGGTTGAAATGAGATGTGCAGTATTGTTTGGATATGTAGCTCTGTTTGCAAGTGGATTTTGTAATGTCCTTTTTGGACAGTTTAATATTAAAAAAGATGCTGTTGCTGTATTTCCTTGGAATTTTTAGGAACTCACCAATTAGTAAACTAGGCAATAGATGAATATGACTTTTTTGTCTGATAAATATTTACAAAGTCAAGTTGTTACTTGTTCTGACTTGTATGGTGAAGCTGCTTTTATTAGTCATTTGAGGCACAGCTCTGGCATTGTCTTGATTTGACAGCTGGAAGACTAATAGGTGTTCCTATGTTCCAGGATTGTTGCTAATTAGTTCTCTAGTGCCCCACTGCCCACTCAACAGACCGTATCCTATTTGTACATGGAGTTTGAACAAACATTCACTAATGTATGTCATTTCCTGAAGATATTGTCTTTATTCTTTGAAAGAAATTATTTCCACATAAAAAGCCTCTGTGCCATGGCTTTATGATTTGATGCCATGTTTGACTACTTTGCTTGTCAAAGATCAAAAGTTGTAATTTGAATGAGGCACTATACCTCATAATCAGGAAGTAAAGTTGATCAAAATGGCTGGTTGAGATTGTCCAAAAGGATATTATCATGATTTTCCAACCGATCTCTCCTGATGCAGTGTGCATTTTTATGTGGACATTGAAAGTCATTCAAAGAGCAAAGATTATTTTCTTTGTGAAGGTTAATTATTAGTTCAAGCCCTTCTAAACAGCATTCTAGGTCAGAATTGCTATGTAATTGGTTTTGTTGGTTTAAAAACCATGTAAGTTGCATTTTAAGAATGCTTCATGATCACTCCTTTGCCAAAATATGGACTCCAGTTGCATGATTAAAATTTTGGTTAAAGTAAAAATTCTGTGGTTTTGAACTTTGTAACTTGGGGATTTTTAAGAATAGAATGCCCTTTGTAACATTAATTTTACATAGAGTATTGATGATTCAGTTGTAATGGGGCTATTCTTAAAATGTCAGTTTGTAGATGGAGTTTGGTCCTTGGCTGAAATTTCTTGTGTGGGCAGTACATGGTTAGGTACTCCAAATTAGTGTATAATTACTAATGTTATTCTTGTAACTAAATTGCATACTAGCTAAGACTGAAATGTTTAAATACAATGTATAAAATTTTAGGTACATTGAAATTTTCAAGAGCAGCCGGGCTGAGGTGCGTACCCACTATGATCCTCCCCGGAAGTTGATGTCTGGTTTAAGACCAGGTCCTTATGATAGACCGATGACTGGAAGAACTTATGGTATTCCTAGAGGATCTTATGAGAAGATGAGACGTGGAGTGTATGGGGGCGGTAAGTCAACGCAAATGGATATTGACCATGACGTTTGAGTATTTTCAATGGATCAAGCAGTTTTATAAGAGATCAAGAACTACTTTCGGGAATAACATTGAGAACTGAATTTATTTGCTGTGGTATGATCAAGCAGAGAACCCTGATGCTTTTTATATATGTTTTATTGATAGTGAAATAGCTAAATTCCCTTCAGTTTTGTTACTTAATCTTTTGTATTCACTAATGGACAGTGGATGAATTTGATTTTTTAAAGTGCTGCAATGTACATTTCTCAGTTTTAGTAACTACATTTCAGTCCACATCAGATCCATTTGCAGTTCTATTTTCATGCTGTACATCAATTCAGGATTAATAATTACAATAATGTAACCTAAACACTTCATTTCTGTCCAGGTTATGGAAGTTATGATGACTATAATGGGTACAATGATGGTTATGGCTATGGGTCAGATCATGGATATGGACGAGATCGGGGTGAGTTTTTTTGAGCTGCACGTTGTAGAGAATATGTGAAAATGGCTATTATTCCATAATACTACTTTCATTAACAGGAATATCTGCACAAGCATACGCAAACAGTGAATCTACCTTCCAGAGCACAACAGGGCATTGTGTACATATGAGGGGACTGCCATTTCGGGCTACAGAGAATGACATATATAATGTAAGTACTTAATATTTTTTTCATGTGGTTTAGGTGTGTTGGTAAAGTGTGCTATGCTACTGAAAGGATATCCCCAGCTGAGTATCGATCCCCTTTTTTTCCCGTGACCTTAACAAGAACTCAAACCGAGTTGCATAGATTATTTTGGATTGGTTTTACCCCAAGCAGCATGCAACTGATATCATCCTAAGGAGTTGTAACAGATTCTGGGAATGAGAGAAGGGAAAAACCATTTCCATACCTGCTCTGTTATGATTATGACATTGGTTTGTGTTTCAACTTTGTACGTGAACTGATTGTTATCCAAAAATTGTGTACTTGTATTTATTAAGTTGGTTCAGAGAATTTCTGCATCTCACCAAGAATGGAATTAATGTAATTTGTCGACCCAAGTTCTTCAAATTTGGCTAGCTGTTTTGGTTTGGTTCCATGTTGTATTTAAATATCATGCACCTCGGAAGCCTAAAAATCATTGTCATAACAGTGGTGCAACATGTTTTCCCAAGAATCCACTTACATAAAATTGCTTGAAAGTCCTTCTACCCGTTTTCTATTTCAGTTTTTCTCACCCCTCAACCCAGTCCGTGTCCACATAGAGATTGGATCTGATGGTAGAGTGACAGGAGAAGCTGATGTAGAGTTTGCTACTCATGAGGATGCCGTGGCAGCTATGTCAAAAGACAAAGCTCACATGCGTAAGTTGCTTGAAAACTTCATATTAAATTGCAATGTTGCTGTAACTTCCTGTGAAATTCTGTTGTTTTTTTTTGCCTTTTTTAGAACATAGATATGTGGAACTTTTCCTGAACTCTACCTCTGGAGGCACTGCTAGCGCCTATGCGACTCAGATGTCAGCAATAGGTAAGTGAATATCCAATTCATTCACAGCTTAACATTTTTCTGCTTCGTAATTCTTTCATGTCCCAGGCCAGTGTGTGCTAGTGTTGGTTCACAAGATCAGTATGCGTTTGATATTTTTGGAAGTTGGTGTCTTGTAAGAATAGCTGTAAAGAAATCTTTCATTTTAAAGGTTTGAGTGCAAACAACATGGGTAATTTTTGAATACTGGGCAAGGAACAGAATGTTACTATGGTTATTTTTTATTTTTTTTGTAGCTTGTCGTATTCTGTTAATGCCAAGCTATTTACAGCATCCGTTAGAAGCACTGCATGCGTGAAAAGAACATGTATTCAGAATAGTAATATTTTGTGCTTGAATGGACTTCTAGCACTTGATATTTTGAGCACAGTATCCTATTACCATGATTTTTTTAGTAGAATTTGCCTTTTAATTCAAAAGCCAAAACTCGAGTCATTTTAATAAATGGAAATTGATTATTCTGATTACTAGAAAGCAGAATGTTGCTAGTTACCATTTTAATAGAATTTTCAAATCTGTTTTCTCATGGCACTAATGCAGGGCTAGTTTTAGCAACCAGTTATAGGCATTGCATAAATGGAAAGAACATCTATCTTGAGCTCTGAAATAAAACTAGATTGAAAATATAGAAGCTGTTAGTGAACTTGTAACTATGGTTCATTGAGATCAGTAAATGGAACAAGAGTCACACCTCTGGTGACATTGGAGATGGTATTTGTATAAAAACATGTTACAAGGGTGTCTGTTTTTAGGAAGCCAATCAAGCTATGCAAGTCCAAGCTATGCTAGTCCAAACGGTCAGCAACTAAGCACTGCATATGGAGTTTATGGAAGTCAAGCAAGCTTGAGTGCATATGGTAAGTGACCAGTTATATTACTGAGCTTTTTATACACAGCAATCTTGCATCCTGGCAGTGTGTGTTTTTTTTTTGTTCCAAGTTTCAAAAAGAAAAACAATTTTTCATGAAATTGTTTTCCAGGCAGCCAAGCCGGAATGAATGGAAGTTACTATGGAACTGGAAGTAGAGGATCCCTGGGGATGAATGGCATGGGTGGAATGTCAAACATGAGTGGAGGATGGGGAATGTAATTTTTTTTCACCTATTTAACAGATACCAATTACCAGCTTAAACTTGGTTATGCTTATGAAATGTGAATTCAGTATACGCATTCCTTTTCATTATGACTAGAATTCAGCATAAGCCTTTTCCTAGGTTGAGGAAAATTCTAGGGTGGCACCAGTGTGTTCATCACATGATTTTAGTTTGAGACCTAAGTTTCATTATGTAAGGTATTTTGGCACTAGTTATTGAAATTTTCATGCCTCTGACTTGTTACGCATGTGCAGTGTACTGCTTCTGCAGGCTTGATTTAATGCAAGAGCATTGTCAAGCACACAAAGAAGGTTGGTGCAAGCAACATCAAGAAGACACAATCTGGATGGCTTAACTGATTGTAATAAATCTTGTACCCACTTAAATTCCCAGAATGTTGAGATTGAAACCCTAAATTGTTAACTAATTGGCAGTGTATTCTGGTTTATTGTATAAAAATTGTAAAGTGTGGTAGTGCATTCATATTCAACAAAATTCTTTGAAACTTAAAATGACACAACTATAAACACTGGTGAGTGTAAACTGAACAATTATGTGCTTATATTTGTTGCTTGACTTCATTTTTTTTATATTTGTCTAAAAACAAGTCTCTGGTTTAATTTTTTTAGGAAGTGAAAATGATGAGAAGCATCTTTGGATGCTCTATGGCAAAATAAAAATTTTAATGTAGAATTTTTCTTTAGACCGTTATTGTAGGGTTTAATCTTGGTCTTCAATATCTGAGACCTGACAAGTCACTTTTGTTCATATTTGTAAGGTGCAAAGTGAAAATAAACTCACTCAATAAAACTTTGCCATTTTTAATTGTTGTGATATTTTTTAAAGTTGTGATTTTGTCGTTCATTATAGCGCATCTTGCAACACAGCAAGCAGATAAAGCCTTACCCAGTTTCCACTTTGTTACACTTCTAACTTTTCTGAAGTTATGGCTGAATTTACTTTCAAAAGCTGAAAATCAGTGATCAGTTGCCAGGTTAGGATTTCTTAAGCAGTGACCATCTTTTCTTTTCCCATTTATTTCCTTTGTTGTCAGAGCAACAGGAAAGTTATGCTTCACTAAACTTCTTTCTTTTTGAAAGATTGAAAATAGTAGAGTAGATAAATGAGAAGCAGTGGATGTGGATTTCAAGTAGGCTTGAATAAGATCCCACAAGATGCTAGTGGGCAAAATTTAAAGCACATAGAATTGGGGCAGTGTGTTGGTATGGATTCAGAATAGGTCGGCAGAATGGGAATAAATGGGTTTTTCCAATACTAGTATATAGAATTTGGAGAAGGGAAGCCAATGCAATATTTTTAAGCTTGCTTATGACTAATCCAGATGGGATTGATTGTGGAGGCTGGGTCACTATGTAATTCAAAAAGATTTTTCAATATAGAAGGGACAGGTAATTGAGACTAGTGAAGTTTGGAATACCTGGTTGGCATAGACTAGTTGGACTGAAGGGTCTTTCTATGCTGTATGACTCTAATTGGCAGAGGAGGTTAAGGCTGAATGGTCTACTGTTTGTAGTTTCTGTGACTAAATGTCAGTCAAAGGCCTCATGAACTGGCTCTCTTATAATAGAATTCTTTGTTTTGTAGCAATTTTTGTATAAAAACTCACCATTTTTGAAAGAACGAAGTGGGACCAAATGTCTAATAAAATCTGTTCCCTTTACCAGCAGCTGATATAAGCCCAACATACAGCTTTGAAATTTCAATGGTTGTTTTAATGAAAGCTGTGGTAAAACTTGGACAAATCAGACTTGGGTGAATTTACAGGAAAACCATCAAAAGTACTACAGGTTTTATGGAAAATTTGATCATGGGCTTGCCAGTCTAATGTGCACTGGCAAGAGCATTTGTTCGGCCTTCCAAGTAAAATCTATGTACTGCTGGCTCAGAAGATTCAGGACTTGGTCCTGCAGTAAACCAGAGAAACAATAGATTGTGAAGGTCCTGTTTAAAGCATGAAAGTTCAAGATTCAGTTAGAATACCAGTACCCCATTGATGTCTTGCCACTAATTCATGAGACAAGCGAGTCTGAAGGTCACCTCAAACTCTGCCTGCATCTTTTTTGAGGGTAGAAAAGAATTGATCATCAAAAACTCCAAGTGAATGTAAAGATCACATCTTTCATTTTTCTTTTAGTTATGGATCAAATGGGAAAGTGACTGGTTTAAACCAAGGACGCTACAAGGAGTTAGTGCATTAAGTTATTGGGACTCACCAAGTTGTGTTTAAACTGTTGTTCAAGCAGTGGGGGAAGAATCTTAAGATTTTATGGCAATGGGGCTGTGTGTGCAGAGTAATCTTCACCTAGCAACAGATTGCTGATTTGGTTATTTAGTTGGTGTCAGCACCTTTCTGGCTGCTGGGCAAGTGACCAGCTTGTGGGTTCATGTTAAAGGGAGAAATGTCCAACCTGCAGCAAAAATGAACTCTCTTGGCTCTAACCAGTAACTGAAAAACTTTGCAATTAACATGTTAACTGCCTAGCATCTTTCACTGAGAATTGAGAAAGAATGAGATCCTAGAATGGAAGGTCATGGGAAGCAAAAGGCACTTCATTGGATACAGTGGACTGATGCTGTTGAACTCTCCTTCCTGGGTATCTTTCCCTCCAGCCCAGAACATCAATGTTTGTGTTTAAGAGGAGATAGTAAGAAATGTTGATGCTGGAGTCAGATAAGTGTGGAGCTGGAGGAACACAGCAGGCCTGGCAGCATCAGAGGAGCAGGAAAGCTGACGTTTCAGGTTGGGACCCTTCAGAAATGGGGCCCCAATTTTGTACACAATAGTGACAATGGTATCTCTAATTTCTTTGTAATAGCTTGAGTATACCTGTTCAGCTATTCACTCTGATCATAGTTCAATCTGCGTTCAATCTGCTTTCATTCATCATTCCTCCCTGTTCAGTTATTTCCTTAAAATACGGCTTAAATCTACTCCAATGATGGAATATTTATGCCCCTATGAAGTAGAGAATTGCAAAAATTCACAGCTTGAGTGAAGAAATTATTCCTCATCTGTACTTTAATTTGTTATTCAGAGACTGCCCCTCCATTATAGTCCCCTGCTGGTAGGGGAATTGACTGTTTTGTGACTGCCATGTGAAGCCCCTCTGGAGTAGGGCAAATTTACTCACCCACTCAATGGGACTCCAGCAACTGTTCATCAGTACCATAGGTAACGTTGTTGTTGTCTTAACTGACCATAGGTCTACACACTCATTAGCAAAAGATAACTAGTGAGCTTTAACCTAAAGGTCACCAAGCCTAAGATGAGGGGAGTAGCTCAGAAGGTGGGACCTTCTTGGTAATTTCAGCTGGTGCAGACATTAAACTGTACTGTTGATGTCAGTCTGTATGATAGACCAGCTATCCAGACAAATGGGTTAACTGAACCCCCAACCGCTGCCCACCCACTCTGTTTTCTCCAGACAGTAGGCTACAACATTTTACTCTTCAGTTTAATAGGCCACAGACCCAGTTTCAATTTGAATACAATCACAGCACTGATCATATGTGCTAAGTGTTTGTCTTTTCCCTGAAGTTTTCGTTCAGTTTTGATGCTCATGTCTGTAAGGAACCTGAAGTCGAGCAACAAAGTCCAACTGCTTACTGCACTTGATGATTTCAAGCATCAAATCTAAAAAATCTTTGCAGATCTTTACCTCAATTTGACCACTTCACATCAGCATGGAGGACTGGTTCACAGTCTGTTCCATTGAGTCTGCCAACTAAGGATTTAAAACCAGTGGTGCTGAAGGGCTGTTGCTCAAATTGCATTTGCAAATTGTAAACTGAACAGGACATGTGGCAGTAATGGATCAACTAATACTTTGTGCCGACCATGGCTACCGCACCATCAGTTGTGGAACTTAGTTTTGATTGGTATGTTTTTCTCAAGCATGTAACTTTTTTGAATATGTTGTAAATATCCCCTAAGACCAAAAAGGTGAGAAGATCATCTTTGGTTGTTACGTCCTTAAAAACTATGTGCACAAGAACAGTCAGCTGGGCTATGATAGTCATGTTGATGGATCCATTGAACTGTAGTAAGAAGCATTCAGAGTCCTTTGGTTACCATTGTAGTTGCCGAAAGACATCTTTGGCCAGGCTCCAGTCATCCTGCTAGTTTGGAAACACTGAAGTGTCATGCTCTGGAATGCGTTATTACTTTTTTTTTTAGAAAAAGACTGACTGAAGCTGCTGACAAGTTGTTTATTTGTTCTTTAATATCCTCCCCAAACTTGAATGATTTCTTATGTAATGGCAGAAGATGCATACTTGAAATGATGCTTTAGCGCAGGCCTTACCTTTTGCTGCTAGTGTAGAGAAAAATAACTTGACCTTTCAGAACGGTCATCAGT